AATCCTGATAGTCACTATATTTTATCCATTGTCTGTTATTCATCTATGTTGTTATGGGTTTAATTAAGATAATGCTAATCTTCTCAATATGTATCTTAACTTTAGCCTGGGAAGAAAATGCATTTGTAAAATTAGCTCAATCAGTTGCTGGTCCAGGGAATTTAACTGTTTGTTGGATATGTCATCATAATCCTAAATCTGTACAAAACAATTCAGCTCCCTTAGCTTCCCCAATATTAAACTACTATGTTATCCCTTCACCAACAAATTCTAGCTCTGCCCTAAAACGAGCAATAGGATTAAATTGTGGCATCCCCCTAACATGCCATTTTACCCAAATATTCCTTGCTACAATCTCACAGGTATACCACGCCTAGTTAGAGATTGTAAAGGAGAAAACGTAGTTAACCCCCAAGTTTCATGTGTACAGGAAGGTGAATTAGGACTATATTTTATTGAATACTATCTTGAATCACCTAGGTATTATGATCATTGATATCAGAATTGATATCAATTGTTTAAATGAACCATATTCTAAATATGACAAATACAATAAAACTATTTATGACAACCCCTGTTCTGAGAATTACACTAAGTTAGAACTCAAGTTTGGAAGACTTCAAATATGCAATAACAATCTAGTTAAAACATGGCTAACGCATGTAAATTTTCCTGTTCCTGAGCCTTGTACCAATACTGTCATTCGTGCCCCTTATGGTCATGTGTTCCGATGTGAGGGATTTAATTACAGTGGTTTAAACAACCCCTTTCCTAGGAATAGCCCTTATGCATGGGCTATTCCGTGTGTAGATGGGTGGAGAATGCAAGGGTAATCAACCTTAGTGTAAACAGGTGTCCCTTTTGACATTTATTCCAAAAGCACTAGTCAACATTGGATGAGCTGTATCAAATTAATTCAATAACCCAAAGGAAAGTATATGAAAATCCCATAGCAGAACAGCCAGGGTGGGGTTGATCATTTTTAAGAGCATTAACTCACTCACATGGTATAGTAGAATTAGAAAAATCTTTAAGAAATCCTTCTGCCACAATGGCATAAATAGCTGATAATGTTGCTAACGGAATGTCAGTTCAACAAAAATCATTAACCTCTCTGGCAAACCCATTACTGTCGAGTTGATTCTGACTCATAGCAATGGCATTGATAGTATAGTGGTGAGCACAGCTGCCTTCCAAGCAGTTGATCTAGGTTCAATTCCTGGCCAACACTGTGGGCTGACATTTTGTTGAGCCCTGGTGGCACAGTGGTTAAGTGTTTGGCTGCTAACCAAAAGGTCAGCAGTTTGAATCCACCAGCCGCTCCTTGGAAACCCTATGGGGCTGTTCTACTCTGTCCTATATGGTCGCCATGACACAGAATCGACTTGACGGCAACAAGTTCTCTGGCAAAGATGATCTTGGACAATCGGATTATGTTAGACTTCTTATTGGCACAACAAGGAGGGGTACGTGTGGTAGCCAATACATCCTATTGCTCTTGCATAAATACCTCTGGAATTGTAGAACAAAATATCCATAAAATTAGACAGCAAGCTTTTTGGCTCTACTCTATTCCCCTTTTACAAACGCTAGATTTATTTGGATGGCTCCCCCAGGGGATAGGATCTTGGGCTCACTCGTTCTTACAAGGCATTTTTTGTTTTGTTTTTGTTGTTGTTTTTTACAGTCTATGATTTTTTTATTGAAACAGTTTATCTGGAGGTACACAAAAATTACTCGGTCGCTTTTACCATGTTACTGTGAAATATCTACTGCCTCCCAATAAAGAGTCAATAATTATTTTTATAACAGTAAGGTAATTAAAGTCATTGGTAAAAGAATCAAGTGAGACTTCCTTAGCACTTATGACCATCCATCATAAACAAATATCAATCTTACAAACCAAATTCCAGAGTAAGTGCAATTAAACAAAGCACAGACAAAAAAGTACAAGGAGCTCACTGGCTATGCTATACCAAAGGGATAAAAAGTAAAACTGACTTTATACTATAGGTCTACGTAAATAAATAAATGAATCTTATCATTTCTTTCTGTGTGTATGCTTAGCTTTCTTATACCAATAACAGAATGCTCCACTTCAACAGAATAAGCTCCTTAGAAAAAGTTTGAAAAGGTTTGATAATCAACCCCCAAATTTTATGCTTAGTTTTTTCTACTTCTATCAGTTTCTTGACATATTTAGCATACACAGGAAAATCTTTTTAGTAGATCGAGTACTTGGAGTCTAGAAAGATCTTGAAGTTTCATTCCCATGTTGCTTTTCGTTTTCCATCTCTTCTTTGCTTCAAATCTCCATGCAAGTTTCTTCTCTTTTCTGAACAACCTGTGAATTTTCAGATTCCTTTTTGGCTTTTACAAAGTTGTAGCAGGAATAACTTTGGCAATTTTAACACTAACCTGTTAAGTAGCCAGCTGATTGCTGACTTCCTCTGCCTTCTCAATATTCAACTCTTCCACAGCCTAGTCTATATTCTTTTTAAGACCTGACTTGTCTTTTTTTTCTTTTTTACAGGGGGATCAAGCCTTTTATTGACTCCAAAATATGGAGTAAGTGCCTTCCACTGGGTTTCATTTGAGAATCTTTCACTATGACATGTCTCTTCATTCTTCAATTTACCTGAATTAAAATAAACACCTTCCTGGAGTATTTCCTTTCTTTCCTCCTGAATCTTGAGGTTGAAGTTTTCTGATCAGAATGTTTTTTATGTAATTTTTGAAATTTATTCCACATATTTAAGGAAATTCTGGAAGAACACTCTTCATATGCATTTACATTTGTCTCTGTTTCAGTCTTTGGTCCATCTGTAGGGAAATTTGAGATTTCTGTTTTTCTAGTCATGTGATCTTTTTTAGCTCCCTGTAAGTGAAGTCCAGAACTTTATGATGTGGCTTCATCTTCAGAATTCAACTCAACAACACTTTCATTTAGACCAGGAGGTAGAAGCGCACTCCACATCTTTTCTTATTTAGTGAAGCAATATTCTTCACCTCATGTTCATCAGAGGCTCTGCTTGGTAGTTTTAGGCCTGAAGTCAGGAAGTAGCCATCCAGCAGCCATCTTAAGACCTCCCCTGCAAGGCGTTTTAATGATAATAATATTAACTGGCTTAATCTATATATTGTTCAAATATGTGGTCACTGGAATTAATAAATGCCAGCACCCTAGAGCGTGTCCAAATCTAGAACCAACAATGTATACTGATTCCGCCCACATCTGGAATACAATCAGTGGAGCTTTAATCCTCACCTAGCAACCTTGGTGAAGTAGAAGATAGTATCTGGTGAAAACCTGACTGTAAGTTTAAAGTGCCTACCATGGCTACCATCTAGGAGCCCAGAAAAGCCCAGGCATCATGTTGTGATCATCTACGTACTTACAGTAATCAGTGATCAAAAAGAGGGAGTGATAAAGGGTTAACCTAACCACAGCAGGCTGTAACCAAAAAAGGCTAACTTGTTTGTCAGAATCTTTAGGACTTCCACAACAGGAAACTACATCAAAGGAGGAGGACAGAGTGCTCTAACCAGTTCAATGGACTGTGGATGTGCATGTAAAAACTAAATAACAATTTACCCCAAGAAACGAGTTATAGGTACACCAATATCACATGTAGCCCATGTAACAAATAAAACATATGACATATGACAGACATAGGACCCCTGAGGCAAGAGACCAAATTGTTAGAAAAGTAAAAGAAAAGTGCACCCAATCATCATCTTAGTTGTCTTTACTTTGACCAATCATAGTCTGTAAGTAATTTACTAATGGGTACATATTCCAATGATTGTAAAGGGCATGTTGAAAGACTCTTACTCATAATGAATCAGCAACTGTCAAAAATGTATAGAAAGCACTTATAGATTGTACTTCTTTGGATTTTAGTCTGTTTATAGTCTGAGTGCTTACAGTCAATTTCCCATTTTTGTTTTCTGGAATGTCACAATAAAAATCTCTTTGTTGCAGAAGGCTTTGGTGAAAGTTATTTCCCTACAGCAAAGCCATAAATTTAAGTATAGCATATTCCTGAGACCTTCAAGTGAATTATCAAACCAAAAGGAGCAGTGGGAGACAGCAAGTCAAAAGTGAGGGGGAAGCCAGAGGAAGCACCTGACTTGCTGGCATTCTGAAGGGCTAGTTGCAAAACCCCGAATTTGTGCTCAGCAGGTAAGAAGAAGTAAGGGTGTCCTCTAGACCTCCTATCCTATGGCTGGCGCCCGCGTATTTAACAATTTAAAAGACGGTGTGCTATCAACTTGCGAGATCTGACCTAAGTCTGAGTGGTTACGTCCGAGAAAGAAGTACTGAGTGGCAGCTGGTGTCAGACTGAAGAGAGAAGGGGAAAATGGGAATTTGATTGATCCCACATTTTGAGGACTTTAACTTTTTTCTAAACAGCCTCACAAACTATAGTAACCAACTGTTTACAATTTGTGTATTTCCTTCCATTTCAAGGCACATAGAAACCGTTTATATGTGATTACATCGTATTTTTACATTGTAGATTCTGATGTCCATTCCATCTTGCTTTCAGTTACTGTTTAACGCATGTCAAAAAAGTATAAAGAAATTATTATATACGGTTTATTAAAGCAGTTAATCTGCGTGCATATAAGAAAACAGAGCATGAGCAAAACCAAACAAAAACCAGGGGTGCTGTTCACTTGCAGTTTCCCTTTTCTAGTGGACAAGAAGTGCTAGGTTAAAATAGATGGAATTTTTTGGCTGCCGTACGTGCGTCTGAGACAGGTGTGAGGGATGACTCCAAGAGCGTGGGCCAGAGGCTGCACAACTGAGAGCGTGTATAGAAGAGGAAACCGCCTGTTACGAAAGGAGGAGGTACTACTTTCAAAGCTTGAAGCATTAGAGTGGCAATATTTTACTCTGAAGTATAGAAAGACGGAGTTGTGGAGACAGGTAAATCGCACAAATACTTGCGCAGCGCTCTCTGGATTAAAAAACGCTAACGAAGGACGCACGCGTTGTGCTCGATTCTGCATCTTTAGGGAGCGTTCTGCGCAGGCGTGGGCCTGAGGTGATGACGTATTCATGCTGCCCCTCCCCCGCCTGGAGCCAGCGGAGCCCCACTCTGGAGCCCCACTCTGTAGCCCCTGTGCTCCCAGCCTCGAGTGTAGGAGTGCGGATTTCGTGAGCAATCTTCTGGCCTGTTCGCGTCGAAGCAGCCGGGGACTGCGCAGCGCCCTGCGTGCCGGTGAGCGACCCTGGACTCGCAGCCTTCAGGTCTCCTGGAGCGAGGCCAGCGGCGGCGTCATGGAAGAACTGGGCCTGATCATGAGGAGGAGGAGGGGAGGCCGTCGGGGGCCGGGCGGCGAGCAGTGCTCGGAGGTGGAGTTGTCGCGTGACTTAACCTCTGCAGGGCTGCGCCGCTTGGAGAGGGCCTCCCGGTTCGGCGCAAGTCGGGCCGTTGGGGTGGGTTCCATGTCGCCACGCCATGAGCCGCCAGCAGGCCTCTAGCTTTTTTTTTCCCTGTGGTTTTTTTTTTTTCCCGTGGTTCCTTTTTTTTTTTTAATTTTTATTTTTTAACCCTTGCCGAGTAGGCCGTGTGCAACGTTTTGTTTAAAACGCTTTTGAAAGGTGCTTTCCCTATATTTCAAGCCCTTTCAGAACTAAAATCAGAGTTTTGTGCACCTATTAAGAAAGAGGTGTTATATTTTTATTAATTTTTCCTATTATGAGTTTGAGATCCGTGTTGGTTTTCAGTAAATTAAGACTGTGATAAAAACAGCATAGGGAAGAGAAAAAGGTGTCTGACACCTCTTAATAAATCAGCGTCTCTCCAAGAATAAACGTAATTTAACTCACAGTGCTCAGAAGAAAATCTGGCAAGGAGGCAGGGGTGTCTAGTACCCGATAAAGGCTGGCGCTTGTCTGTTAGCTTTGATGAGACACGTGTCCGAGGCAGAACCTATCGGGCAGTTCGGTAAGGATAGAAAACAGGCCCGGCTGAGAGCCTTTTTGGCTTTGCCGTCTATGTCTTTTCCCCACAAGGCCTTCCCATGGGCTGCACCTTACACCGCAGCCTGCATTAACTGAGATACTGGAGCCGGTGCCTCTGAGGCCGGGCTGTAAGGCCCACTGAACCCAGCTCATGTGGTTGGTATTCCGCTAGGCCCCAAGGTCAAGTGTGGGGACCAGAAAACCAAACATGTTGCCATGGAGTATTTCTAACTCATAGTGACCCTATAGGACAGAGTAGAATTGCCCCATCGGGTTTCCAAGGAGAGGCTGGTGGATTCCAACTGCTGACCTTTGGTTAGCAGCTGAGCTCTTGATCAGTGTGTCACCAGGGTGTGCTAATTCACCTCTGAACCACCCGTAGTATTGGTTTGGCTCGAATTTAATGTAATTGAGCCAAATCAAGAGAAGATAGGTTTTTTTAGAGGTTATAAATCATTTGTTATGAACTCATGGACAACTTGTACACAGATTTTTTAGTCGCAACAATGAAACATCAACTTTATTCCTCACTCGACAGTTTTTAAAAGTTTGTCTATTTAGTGGTATAGTTTTCCCGCATTGTTTGTTCTATGAGTGACTGCAGCAAATGAATGAAATCAGCAGATTGAATTATATAACTTTGTCTTTTATTGTGATAAGGTACATAATATATGCCATTTTTACAGTTACTACATGTACCATTGATTACAATTTTGAAGTTGTGCACCCATTCTTTCTATTCTTTTCCAAATCATTCCATAACCATTAACATAAACTCAATGCCTCTAAGCAAAAACTCCCTTATACTCTCCATCCTCCCCTGTTAACAATTAATATATACATTTCCTTATTTCCTGTAAATGAGATTATACTGTACTTGTCCTTTTGCAACTGACTTATTTCACTCAGCGGAATGTTTTGAAGGTTCATCCTTGTTGTGGCATGCATTTCTTTTTATGGCAGAGAGTGTATATACCAGATTTGGTGTATCTAGTCATCTGTTTATGGAACCCTGGTGGTGCAGTATTAAGTTCAGCTACTAACCATAAGGTGAGCAGTTGGACTCCACCAGCTGCTCCTTGGAAACCCTTTGGGCCAGTTCTACTCTACCCTGTCGGGTCACTATGATTCAGAATCGACTTGACTGCGGTGGGTTTGATTTTTTTTGAGTATTCATCTGTTGATGGACATTTCAGTTGTTTCTGCCTTTTGGCTGTTGTGAAAAGTGCTGCAGTGAACCTTCACTTCTGGGTATGTACCTAGGATTAGGATTGCTGGATCACATGGTAGTTCTGTGCCAACTTTTTGAGGAACTGCCCAACTTTTCCACAGTGGTTGTACCATTTTACATCCCCACCAGCAATGGATGAGGGTTCCAGTTTTGCCACACCTATTTTCCTTTTTTATTTTTTAATCATTGCCATTCCAGCGGGGTGAGGTAGTATCTCGTTGTAGTTTTGATTTGCATCTCTAATGGCTAATGATACTGAGCAACTTTTTATGCGTTGTTGGCTGTTTGAGTATCTTCTCTGGTGAAATGTCTGTTCAAGTCCTTTGCCCATTTTTTAATTGTGTTGTCTTTTTGTTAAATTGTAGAAGTTTTTAAGTATATGTTGGATATTAGAGCATTATCAGATAAATGGTTCCAGAGATTTTTGTCCCATTCTGTAGGGTATCTTTTCACTTTTGAACAAAAATAATCTTTATGAGTTCCCATTTATCTATTTTGTCTGTTGCTGCTTGCTTTTGTTGTCAGATTATTCGACTTTTAAATTCCTCTCAGTCTTAGAATTCTTAACTGCAATGTTACTGTATTACTTACCTGCAGAGGTTATTTTTTGTATAGGTATCAGTTACTTTTTCTTACATGGCTTTTAAATTCATAGTTACTTCTCTTTGCTATTTTTGACACTGTCATCTGAAAATTTTGAAATTAATGTTCCAAATTCTGCTGCTTAGTATTAATGAATTATAGATACTATTTTGGAATTTATCTTCATAATTTTAACTGCCAGCTGTTGAAAGAAAAATCTGCAGGATTTGTGTTTTGAGTTGTGAGGATGGAAGTCTGAGGATGGAATGGAGGGTGAGAAGGATTATCAATGTTACTTACTACAAAGGGGCATGAAATTTAAAAGGTTGAGAAATACTACTTTGAAATTACCTGGTAGTACATTTAACTATACCTGCTTATAATCTGGAAACCCTGGTGGCATAGTGGTTAAGAGCTGCAGCTACTAACCAAAAGGTCGGCAGTTCGAATCCACCAGGCACTCCTTGGAAACCCAATGGAGCAGTTCTACTCTGTCCTGTAGGGTTGTTATGAGTCGGAATCAACTCCACGGCTATGGGTTTGTTTGTTTGTTTTTATTTGTAATCTGCCCAAAGCAACTTTTGCCTTTAGTAGTAATCGTTTCAAATGTAGAATATGTTTTTGTTTTATTCTCAGGCAAACAAAGCCTACATGATTCTCTTCAGAAAATCCTAAGAAAGTGTAGACCTTTGTCAGTGTTTGAACGTTTAATTACCACAAGACTGACAGAATTTCATAATTTGTTGGAAAACCACTTCTAAACTCTAGTAAATGGTTTACTTGTTTTAGATGTTATTTCAATAGAATATAATTCTTATTCCAAAAAAGAATTTGAACACTCCTTGAAATTTGTTCCAAATTAATTAAATCATTACAAACATCTAATAATGATTTTTAGTGTACTTTTTTCTTGAAGTTTACTGTAAGGTTTTTTTTTTTGTGTAGACATAGGAAAGTCTTTTCCTCCTTTGCTTTTGTGTTCAAATAAAGACAATGCTTATGATGGAGTCATATCAACTGAAAGTATGAGAATGGATTGGTTAGTAGTGAAGTCCATAATAAAGATGGAAAAAGTGGAGCTGTCTCTAAGTTTCTTTATGTGGAATTCAGAGAAAGAGATAGTGTCACTTATCCCACTTGTCAAGAAACAGGAAGAATGTGTTACTGCATTGTTTTTTCTCTAAAGAATGATTGCATTCATTTGCTCAGACATCATAAAACCCTGCATCTAAGCTTTTCTTTATGGTCTAAAAACCCTTGGAATTAAAGTTAAAACTTCCTGTCAGTTGTCTTTAGTCAAAAGGCTGAAAGGAAAAAAAAATTAATATTAAGTAGTCCTGGTGGCACAGTGGTTGAAGCACTCAGTTGCTAACCAAAAGTTGGAGATTTGAACCCACCATCCCCTTTACTGGAGGAAGAGTGGCAGTCCGCTTCCATGAAGATTACAGCCTTGGAAACCCTGTGGAGCAGTTCTGCTCTGTCCTATAGGGTTGCCTTGAGTCAGAATTGACTGGACGGCAATGGTAAAACAGTAATAATGGAAACCACTCCTCTGTCCCCAGTATTTTCCCTTTCCCACCTACTATTACAGTACATTCATCTGTCTCTTGAGTGAAAATTTTTAGTACTATTTGGGATCTATAGAGGGAATATCAGTTCTTTGCTATATTTTGTGTTAGAGGCAATTTTTATTCCAGGCTACTTAAGTAGCAGTGGCAACAAGTGGAAATCATGAAGGTACCCTGTGCTCGTCTCATTGTCTGGTTAGCTAAAGTTGATATGTGACCCTGGAGAGATAGAAGGACAGAGTTACAGTTTGCACAGTGTGTACAAAAGCTATGAGAAGTACCCTGGGGAAGATTGCAGTTTGAGTGTGTGACAGCTTTATCTTTGCAAGAATAAGAGTTTGAGAATACAAGGATTATTATAGTTAAAAGGATTAATGTACCATACTAAGGTAGGGGGGAAAAAGTACTGTTTTACCAATCTGGATGTGTTTTTAAGGTATGGCCAGATGGCCTTTTTTTGTTTCTTGGATATGGATTATAGAGAAAAGAAGCAACTGAAAGAATGGAGCAGCCCTTTCCTGAAATGGAGAAAACTTCGTTTGGGTGTGTGCATTAGAGGAGAGATTAAGAGCTCACTTTTAGGCATGAAAGTTTCGAGAGACATAAACTTGATGTCTAGGTGGCTATGTTCAGTAGGTAGGTAGTTATAAGAGCCTGGATTTTTAAATTTTATAAATGAGGAAAAAAGTAAATTGCCCAAAGTACTTAAGGTAGGAAATGATAGGAGAATTCTAACTTAACTCCCAATGCAGCACACAACACTCATAACGTCATCCTTACTATATATCTCCCAAGATCCAGGCACTGTCCCTAGAGCCATAAGAAAAATTATCATTGATGAATTTTATAATGGTGAACTATGTATTGAGATAGTGAATTAGACAATTTTTCAATTTGGGATGAAATACTATGTGGAATGTTAATTTTTGTCCCACCAGATTAAGTACTATTAGTTATGGCTATAAACTTTGAATGCAAAGTAATGTAGAACACTGTTTCTTATATTCACAACTAGGGCTTATTTATAGCTTACCCTCCATAAATAATTAAAAACAAAAACAACACTGAAGGATAAGAAAAGCCAACAAAATTCAGAATTTTTAATCATGATCATTGAAGTCTTCATACAGCTTTTGAGTGTTTTTGTGTGTTGTAGGTACCTTAAAATGTACTTAAGTTACCTGTTAGGTAATCTAGTAGTGACCACCACTCTTCTCAGGTTCCAGGAAGTCCAGAGTGAGTGAGTGGGAACTGCTTTGTTTGCTCAGACGACAGAATGGGCTTGGTAGCAGTGATAATAGTAAATTTTTTGGTGTTGTTTTATTTTGTTTTTTAATAAACCATTTTACTCTTGTTTCTCAATTTAGGTAGTTAAAATACTCAGAAACTTTCATAAAACTTCTGCAGAGGATTTCCTCTACAAGCCTAATTGCATCCGACAGATGGCAACTTGTTCAGATGATGATGCAGTGCCTGTGCACCCTTTTTCCAGAGAGGCCAAGAGGATCGTTGCTCTGCCTGCTGCTGATAGACATCGGCTTGGCCTGGCAATGTTATACTCTCCAGAAATGAGGCGAAAACGAACTATTAGGACCCTGTGCATGACTGTCTTAGCTGCTGTTTTCCCGACCTTCAAAGGTCCTGTCGTCAAGGTCAAACCTGTCATTGATGGACAAACAGTTACTTGGCAAATGCAGTTATATGGCACCCCTCTGTTGTCAATCCCTGAAGTTCCCGATGATCCAGAACATAGACTTGGGTTATACCATGCAACGCTGAACATTCTCGTCGCATTGTTCAAGGACTCACGGGACAATAGCCATATGAGGACTGCAGAAAACAGGTTCAAGGCATTCAAGGCAGCAGTCAATACAGACATGGAGCACACACCATATCCTGCTATTAATGTGTCTGCTTATGTCATCTACTTGTCTCTTCAGCCCTGGTGTCATAGAGTCTTGCGTAGAATTTTAAGTACCAAATTCACAGGTCCAGCCGAACAGATGATGGTGCAAGTCCATATGGTGGCTCGATGGTCACAGATGACTACCCTCAATGCTATTAAAAGGTTCCTTAACGAGTGTGACTCGAGCTTGATCCTAATACCTGAAGTAAAAGAGGAGATACCCAAGTTCCATGAAGCATATGAGAGACTTCGTGAAAAAACTGGAGAATGGTTTCCTTATGCCAAGGCAATCAAACACCCTGAAGCCCAGAAAGTGAAGACGGCAGCATTTCCAAACCTGGCATCGGCAGCCCTGTACCATGCAGCAGAGACAACACCAACTATGCGAAACTATAGAGCAGGGAAACACATTAGGGGAGGGCTCCCTGAAACAACACTCAAAAGTGCTTTTGAGCGCAAAATCTCACGTGAAGAGCGGGCAACGCTATACTCCTCAGGCATCACTGGTGAGGTGAGTGACCAGGTGTCACAATCACCGACAGAGGCAGAGTCATCCATGGATGATGATTAAGAGTTTTTGTTTAGTAAAAAAAAAACCATAACCCCCCCTTAAACAAACAAATAAATACAAACTCAAAAAAGAAACAAAAAATCTGTAGGAGGCAATTTAATAGCTGCTGTGAGGCATACTAAGATTGGATCCATCAAGGCATTTAGAAAGGAAGTGAGGAGGAGAGAGTAGAGCAAAAAGTAAAATGATAATTTTTTGAATGACTAGAATATGAGGGAGAGATTAAGTGACATGTAAGACGTGGAAACAAAAAAGGGTGCTGTAGGCTTTCAGCAGAGGATTGTGTGTTGGCAAGATCAGGAAATAGTTTCTTGAAACTAGCTGTGGAGGGTAACCTTGAAGATAAGAAATTTCCATTATGGAAACTGGAAAGAGTGAGGGATGGAAGAGTTACATTTCAGGAGGAAGTTAGAGGAATAGCAAAGACATAGAAAGTTTTTTTCTTTTTTTAATCTGCTTTCTTAATTTTAAATAGTGGAACAATATATTCAAAGATGAGTTAATGTAAATATTTTTCAAATTGAGTACTTCAGTACTCTGGGATGAGGAGGCGCAAAAAGGGCTGGTCATAGTGAGATTGAGCATGTGGATATGTCATGTTTCAAGAGCTGTACAGGTGGTTCTGAGGGCGTTATAAGAAAATTCTTCAAGTAGTAACATGAGCAAACATTGAAAACATGCTAGTGCAAGAAGTCAATCACAAAAGACCACCTACTATATGACTCTTTATGTTAATATCTAGAATAAGTAAATCTATTGAGAGGGGAAGTAGATTAGTGGTTGCTTCAGGCTGTGGGGAATGGGGTAGGAGAGTGATAGTTAAGGGTATAGGTTTATTTTTTATATTTTTTTTTTTACAGGATTATTTTTGAGATTTATAGATACGTTCTAAAGTTGGTGATTGCACATCTGAACATACCAAAAGCCATTGAATTGTACACTTTAAATGGGATGTGAACTGTCAATAAAGCTGTTTTAAAAAAAAATGAATAAACATTTGCCACTCACGTTCTGTTAAACATAAAGAAGTTAATAATTTAGGACCTTAGAGCCTACAGATTTAGACAGATTGTAAGTCTCATATAGAAGCAAAAAAGGGTTATGCAACCTAGTAAACCCTGAAGCACGTTTATGAATATTGGTGGATTTTTCAGAGAACATTTTGTCTAATACTTGATGTGTTATATTCATGCAGTCTTAAAAGTTCTTGATGACCTGTTAAATCTAAGCAAGACGAAGAAGGCAGGGATCAGTGATTCGATGATAAGGTGTAGTGTTTCAGGAAATGACCTAATAAATTGGGTTTTAATATTTAGCAAATTTCAGGTCAGGGGATGCTTGCTCCCACTTTTTAGAAAGCAAAACTTAATAAAGCAGATTAAGGTCAACAAGATGATCAAAGGACAACGTTGTATCCTAAACAGAACTATTGCTCACATTTTTTTTTCCCAAGATGCAAATACTTGTACACAGGACAGAAAACTTGGAAAATAAGAACAAGTCAGCTTTTATTTAGTATCCCTAGTTGAACGCAAGTAGGACAGGCTAATGAAATTCTTTTATTTTTTTTTTTCCTGACTTCACTGTATTTTAAACTTTTCTTTGTTAAGGACTAAACTTGAAAGTGAGCCATTCTCTCAGAGATCTCTTACAGTAGCAAAACTGATTCTAACAGATACATGAAAAACTTTTACTGACTTATTGTAGAGACAAAATATTCCCCAATTAATAATTTCTGCAGGGCAGAGGGTAGAAATAGTGCAATATGCATTTGGATACTGAATCTTCTAATAATTCAAATCCACTTGCCAGTAGTATACCTGACAGATCAAAGTTTCTTACAGGAAATTACAGGGACTTCAAGGAACAGGATATCAACAGCAAACAGCTACCCCAACAACAAAACAGCACCGAGCCATCAGAGCAAGAGAAGGAGCAGCAATTGTTTGCATACAATGGAAAACCAAAGAGCTTGAGTGACAAAGTGACCATTGCAAACACAGGAGAAGGATAGGGTGGCTGTTAGCACCAAATATCATATGTAGCCATCAGGATGCACAGGGGCACTGTGTGTCATCAGAGAAGTCACCTCCCCTCCCCCTGTGCTCCAGGTGGTATCTCAGAGCCCCAGCTACCAGCCCCCTACCTCTCAGACTTCCCAGGGCTAGAAGCAGCAGAGCCAGAGCCCAGGCGCTACCACTCATCGCTGTAGGGGCCAAAGACGTCCAGGGTCCCCACTGCTAATGGGGGAGGATAGGGTCACCACTGCTGTCTTGCTGGGTGGAAACCCCAGGTTTTACTCAGTGTGACTTGTCACAGCCAATAAGCAAGAGATGGGAGATGAGAAAGGCACCTTTATTTCATTGCACAAGGAAAGGAACAGTCGGAGCTGCTGCCTTCAAGACTGCTCAGCGAGGGTGAGGGGTTTATAAGCAGGAAGTTACATCAACATTCCTAATATGCAGGTGCAATGGGGTTTACGTATAACTTCATGCATCAAATGTTCAGAAAATGGCAGTTAAACTTTACCCAGAGGCAGGAAAGTTAACTGTGAATGAGGTACTTAATGAACTAAAAAGTTATCCAGGATGTCAGCAGGGTGCCTGTCTTAGTTATCTAGTGCTGCGGCAACAAGTACCACAAGTGGATGCCTTCAACAAACGGAAGTTTATTCTGTCACGGTTTTCCAGATTAGAAGTCCAAATTCAGGGTGTCAGCTCCAGGGGAAGGCTTTCTCTTTCTGTCTGCTCTGCTTAGTGCAGGGACCTCATGTTCAAAGGATGTGCTCTTCTCCTGGCACTACTTTTCCTGGTGATATGAGGTCTCCCAGACAATAATTTCTCACAGTAAATTATAAAAGCAGGTGGGTTATGATCTGGCATCCCATGTAAGTTGACTTTGGGGGAGAAATGTGCTGAAAATCCCAGCACAACATTAGATAACTGGCTGTTTCTTTGTAAAATAGTAAACTGGCATTCTGACATTAAAAAAAAAAAAAAAAGCCTATGCATTTTACATTTACGAAAAAATTTAGGCTATATAGGTGTCCTTGGCTGGGTTCTCTGGAGAAGCAAAGCCAGTAAAGTGTTTAAATGTATGTATAGAGGTTTATACCAAGGAAATGGCTCATGCAGTTGTAGAGGCTGGAATGTCCCAAGTCCATGGGTCAGGATAGAGGCTTCTCCCGATTCACACAGCTGCAGGGGCTGGTGAACCCAAGATGGGCAGATCAGAGAGCAGGGCTGTTGCTCACAGGCTGTGAAGATCGACGAATCTCAAGATCAGCAGGTAAGCTGCCGGCTCAAGTCCCAAGAACTAGAGGTCAGACAAACAGGATCCAGAGTGAGCAAAAGCCCACGAGCCTTGTCAGAACGTCCATTTGTATTCTATGCAGGGCGCATATTGAAGAAAACTCCCTTTTCAACTGATTGACTGCTCACAGCAGATCCCATTATGGAGGTGATCACAACATCATACAACTGCCAAACCACTGAGAATCATGGCCCAGCCAAGCTGACACAGCATTAACCATCACAGCGCCTAAACCAGTTTCCACCGATTTCCTGTAGTTCTGGGCAGCAGTTAAGGAAAGGACAACCAGGATATTAATGTAAAGCTATGGGGCGGGCGTGTCAAGCAAGGGAACCAAGATGTTAATGTAAAGCTATGCAGGGTGCCAAGCAAGCTGCTTGAGGCAGTGGAATTTTCCTCAGCCTGGGGCCCTCTAAGCCCCTCCGCCCTCGTATCTTTGAACTTTGTCCCTCTATTCCCGCTCTGCCTTCAGGGGAGCTGCATTTCTTGGCTCTGAGGAGCAGCCAGGCCTTTCTGGGCACGATGACGGACCTTTTCCCGCAGCAGCTCCACGACCCTGCCGTCCTCCTGCCGCCAGTCAGAAAGCCACAACCGCCTGCCTCTAGGAAACCGAGGTGTGCCTTTAAGTCCTGGCTGTGGCTCCAGCACTTTGCACATCATTTCTGCAGTTGCACAGCCAGGGGACAAGCTCCGGAGATGAAGTTTGGCATCTCGAGTCTCACTGTCTTAATAAATGTTTTGAGAACACTTGGTAATCCTAGAAACTGCTGAGATGGACGTTCAGCAAAGGAAGCTTTGCAAGGTTCAATGGGAAATAAGGGTGCCCCCTTGGCCATCACTTGGGATGTTGCCCTCAGCAACTGCACTCCCTGAGTGGAAAAGAGACAATGATTAACAGAGAGTAGCCTGGGAGCCCTGTTGGGCACAAGGTTCAGGCCACAGGTCCTCATACAGATTTGAGAATGAACACTTGAACTAAGCATGAGTGAGGGCAGAATATGGCTCAATGCATAAACGAGAGTTTTAAAACTTTTATAACTTTTTATTTGAAGTAAAATTACTAAGTTTAAAACTTATCTTTCAAAATAAAATATTAATCCACCTGGGAAAAAAATGTCTTGATGCTGGACAACATATGTGTGTAGCCTCCCTTTTACACTGAGAAAAGGCACCCGATCTTACTGGATAAAAACGAAATAGAACTTTTTGGTGGGGGACAGATGATTTTCATCTTTAAGCCTAATTATGGAGGAAGAATTTAGTGTGGGAAGGATGAAAACCCAGAGTTTTTTTTAGTGTATGTCTTTTGTTTCACCTTTAGGTTAGTAGTTGTGCATAAGCCAGTTGGGCCACCCAGGGACTTTATTTTAGTAAAGAAGGTGTAAATCATGCAGTCATAATTTATATCTATGTGTGGTATTCCTTTGTTTATGGGGAAAAATAAACCGGTTGTTTGCTAAGCAGAACCTATCCAATCAAGATGGTTTGGTTTGCTCATTTCAGAGTAAGAAATTCAGCAGATAGGCTCAATATCTTTCACAAGATAATTCACTGCTGGAAAGACCAGAACAGTGTAGCTGCTTTGCTTTCCAAGAGTCTGGTGACTACCTATATATGATCAACAGTTTCATCGCAATCAATTATAGAGATTGTATCTGAAAATACAGGAAAGAGATAAGATGCACTGACAATTGTTAAAACAAAAATCATATTAAGCCAATAATAGAAATTGATTGAAGTTTATTGAATATACGATTTGCAAATCGGAGTAGCATTTCGATTAGAGAGTTGAAAGGGTTTCGAAGATGAGAAACTCCAAAGATTTTTACACCCTCTTGTGACCCTCGTACTTTGCAACATGTTTTCTCTCTTTCAAAATGGGCAATGGAGAGCTTGACATAACTGATGCCACAGTGAACCTAAAAGTTTTTTTCTACCTGTCTTCTCCTTTCCACATACTTTTGTTAATGGCTTTGTTTTGTTCTGTCTGGCCACCTGTCACTTATGACCCCCCACATAAAGATTAGAGCCCGGATGTCTGGTCTGTAAATCTTTAGCCTCATAAGGAGATGTCCAGCATGTATCTCTTTAGTCTGATAGTCTCTTGTAATGAATAACTCATCTGGCCGTGCCATCTGCGGGCTATGTGCCAAAAAGACAGTTCTAACCTTTGTAACACCCATATACAAGCTGTAATGTAAAATTGCCTTCCGGACTCCATAAAGACAGCCTGTGTTGCTGTCGGACTCCCCGTTGGTGTCACCTCCTAATAAACTTTCTATTTCTTAGAGTACATTTCATTGTCTCAACTGCTCCAGGGCACAGACCCTAATCGGGCAACACTATCTTACCAACATTGCCATGGAAAAAGGGCTGCAACAAAACTGATAAAATAATTTGTGGTTCAGGAAGGATTTCATACAGCATTGTCTTGAACAGTATAATTACTGACTTATGCTAAAACACCTCTATTCTGACCATTGGCATTTCTGTTTCTTGGAACTGACTGCACATAGATAATTATTAAAAAGAGCATAATGTCTAAGGCAAACCGGACTTCCATCTAATTTATCTAGACCATTATTTGGCTCAAAGATGACTTTTAGAAACCAGTTTGCTCAAGGCTCCAGGTTCAAAAGAAGATCTGAGGGAAATGGTCTGGGTGGATCACCCCAACTCCATGGACCCCAGAAGTCTGGATTACAGGAGAATTAAAACTTTCTCAATGAATTCCAACAAATGAAATTTGCCAAATATATCCTATCTTTAATTCTCATTCATAGGCTGAACTTTCTCTCATTCCTGATTTTCTTTTAAATAATAGTATTTGTCAAAAACACCAGAAATTAGTGTAACACTTTATTTATTGTGAGTAGATTACTGATTCCAAGTCAAGCAGCCTCAACCTGAAAGTATTGGGAAAGTGCTCAGTGAAAGAGGGGATAATGAGAACGAGTTATATAGGTCATTGTCATGTTAATTTCTCAGGCGATAGCATCAAAACACATGCCAGATTCCAGGGTAGATCATTTGTAGAAACAGTCACTAAGGACATGCCCTGTGCTTCTGGTCAGACCCTGGAGTTCCTGCTTCTCAAAGCTGGGCTGCACATTGATAATTCTCTAAAACAGCCGAATGCCTATGTCAAAATGGTCTCTGCTAAGCTGCTTATGGAAACCCTGGTGGTGCAGTGGTTAAGAGCTACGGCTGCTAACCAAAAGGCCGGCAGTTTGAATCCACCAGGCGTTCCTTGGAAACCATATGGGGCAGTTCTACTCTGTCCTGTAGGGTCACTATGAGTCAGAATTGAGTCGATGGCAATGGGTTTAGTTTTCTGGAAGCTGCTTACTAAGCTATTGTTTGACCTGAAGGTGTGTCATGGATTGAATTATGTCCCCCAAAAAATATGTGTATCGATTTGACTGGGCCATGATTCCCAGAATTGTGTGGTTGGCCTCCATTTTGTGATTGTAATTTTATGTTAAAGAGGTTTAGGGTGGGATTGTAGCACCACCCTTACCCAGGTCACATCCCTTATCCAATGTAAAGTGAGTTTCCTTGGGGTGTGGCCTGCACCACCTTTTATCTCTCAAGAGATAAAAGGAAAAAGAAGCAAGAAGAGAGTTGGTGACCTCATATCATCAAGAAAGCAGTTCCAGGAGCAGAGCGTGTCCTTTGGACTGGGGTCCCTATACCGAGAAGCTCCTAGTCCTGGGAAAACTGATGAGAAGGCCAAGAGAGAGAGAAAGCCTTCCCCTGGAGCTGACACCCTGAATTTGGACTTTTAGCCTACTTTACTGTAAGGAAATAAACTTCTCTTTGTTAAAACCATCCACTTGTGGTATTTCTGTTATAGCAGCACTAGATGACTAAGACAAGGTGATTCCAGGAAAACCAGTTCCTTAAAGACTTAAGGTTCAAAAGGACACTAAGGGTAAGTGGTCACCCCAACTTCACAGGCCCAGAAGTCTGGATTCCAGGAGAATTAAAACTGTTTCTTATATTCTTTTATTTTATTTTTAATTATTTAATCATTCTGGCTGTGGCTCATAGCAAGCCAGACGAGAAGGAAGTGTGACCAAGCTTTGTTTCATTAAAATATATTCATAAAGAAAATCAGTTGATAGCTGGGAAGATGATGCACCCAAATAAACATTATAAATATGTTTTGCCTATGATATATATACCTACTTAATGTAGAACTAGGACACCCTAGTAAATTTCAAAAGGAAGATAAAGTGAACCATTTGTTTAGTTGTTTCTGGAAAGCCCTTTTAAACCCCATTTTCTCCCCTAGTCTTCCTACCCAGTAAATAGCACCTCTTTTCATGGTCCCTCCAGTTATAAACCAGGAAGCCGGCTTTGGGCTTCCTTTCTTTCTGTTAGTCACTGCTCCACCTCTGTGTTCAGTCCATGAAAAAGATAGCTAGACCTCAAATCCGTCTATTCCTCTGTATACCTCTGCCACCACCCTGGGTCAAGCCACCACTATTGCTCATGTGGATCACTTCAAAAAAAACCGTACAGGCAGTCCTGAGTTACAAACATCTGACTTTTGTGCAGCCCATAGTTACAAACTAAGCTCCGTAAAGCCTATTATATTAAAAATTCAAGGTACGTACATTAATTCATAATAACAAACGGGCACTACTTTGCTACACACATCAAAACATTTTTTCTGTATTATGT